CACTATCTTTATTATTTTTATTATATATAAACCTATTGGTAATTTCAATAAAATTCATATAATAAAAAGTATTTACTACAGGTAAAACAAATAGTTATTTGGCCGAATACCGAATAAGAGACAAGATTTCAAGCCGATTTTGGAAATGCTAATATAACCGGTAATTATATTTTTCTCGTCCATGTTATTTACCTGAAAACTTTCAAATTCGTTTTTCTTAAAAAATTTCAAAAATGTGACAAAGGTCGTTTTTTCAATGTAGTCTTGTTATATTTTAAAAGTGTCAGGCCTAATTTATAATGTATTAGCATTTTAATGTATTAGCATTGACTAAAGAATTTCTTCACTCAACGGTATTAGATAAAATAAAAGGAACGTCTACACATTTATAATCCCAGACGTTAAACGATAGCAGACGTCAGTGTGCTACCCGTGATTATATACAAAATTAATAACATATTTCTTGTAAGAATATATTTATATAATATAATTTATTAATTTTATTTTTTTTCTGCCTCTAAAATATTTATTAATTGTTTTTTAAGGATCATGGTTGACCCAATTGCAGCAAAAGATAATAGATTTCGTTTGTTTTTATTACTAAGCATATTCTTTCTGCTACTAAATACTAATATTTGAAGAAAGAAACTCTACAGAGTATTAAGAAAATAATGTATTTTATAAATTTGTTATAATCACTACATTTTTTTATACTGTATTATACTTGTTATGGACCTTTGGTCTTTTTGGGTAAATAAATAAATTAAAAAAAAAAAAATTTGAATGTGGAAGGCAACGTACCATTCCAAATATTTAATCAACACCCAGCCTAAAGTAAACAAAAAATCTGCATTGAAAGTATTAATCCTCCAAAGCATCCAGTGTGAGCACACTGGATGCTTTGGGCCGAGGCCTGCTGCAAGGTGGTTATTTAAAGCACTATGTTTATTATTTTTGTTATAATATATAGGAACCTATTAGTAATTTCAATAACATTCATATAATAAAAGTATTTACTAGAGATAAAACAAATAGTTATTTGGCCGAATACTGAATAAGAGACAAGATTTCAAGCCGATTTTGGAAATTCGGCGTGACGAGTTAAGAAGATTGGGTAGATTCGGGGGTTATCGTGAGTATTCGTGATTGAGTAGCGAAAAACAGTTGTTTACATAATTTCATTTACATTCATTTTTGGGTTCAATTATTTTGATTGTTTCAATTGAGTGGCAAATGAAAATAATATTTAGTGTGATGGTCAAGAAAAAAATAGTTTTGCATTAAAGATTGACTGTTACTTGAAAACTATCGCAGTCGGGACCCATACATTTGGTAGTCAGCTATTTCAAAAAACTACCCACTATTGACAAAATTTGCAGCAGCGCTTAAAGTTTCGTTTTTTTCTGAAGCTTTTACGATAAGTGGAATCGCTTTTTGCAGAAAAATGCAGCATGATATTTGGCGAAAATAGTTAAAAATGTATCTTAATATTTTTTACAAAAGATATAGTTATCTACTTCTTTTAAACATTCATTAGGTATGAGTAACAGAAGTCCTTTTTTATTTCAACTAATATTAAAAGAAAAACTTGTAAAAATATCAAATATTTAAAATACTATGAGAAATAAATATACATACAATATATTCTATACACATAATAAAATTACGGGTCCTGACTGATTTATCAACCAAACCAAACCAAACCAAACCGCTGAACTGCTGAAATTTTGAAAGTGCACTAGGTTTTTTGTAGTTTCATCCAAGGGGGTAAATTCGGACACTCTGTTATAATTATCCCGGCGCATTCGCCAGTATTTAACGACTGAACGGATTTTAATGACATTTGGAACGGGAACGGGACTGAAATGGGACGTAAACAGGACAAACAAATAATTAATCGTTATTACATTTAAAGGCTGTCCCTGAAGTCGCGCACCGCCTTGTATGATCTATAGACCCCAAAAGACTCCCAGAAAATTGTTAAAAATATTCTACGTTCGTTATTTAAAAATATACAGGTAAAATATATTTTCTTTAAATAGCAACATTGACTGATAATAAAGTAATTCTTAATAATTATTAGCAAACACCAATATTATAAAGTGTTAAAATGAATTGGACGGCTTTCTGCAGAATGGGACCAACCCACACCATGATGAAACTGAGAAAAAAGCTATCAAAGATTTTAATAATTTTAAAATTACCTGTTAATTTTATGCCGATTTTGGACTTACGGAGGCTTAAGGGATATAATTTAATAATTTCATCAGGTGGATTTTGTGATGTTATGTGTAAGGGTGACGAAAAAAATGGGATTTTGTTGGTTGGTTCCTTTCTGCAATTTATGAAAACTACTATCTGATGTATGTACAGTGCTTGTAAATCCAAGTCCGACCGGTTTGTGAAGGACGCGTGAAAATAACAAGGATAGAACGCCAAACAGAAGGCGCTTACAATACGCACGCCTGACGCTCTGACCAATCAAATTCTGTTTGGCATTCTATCCTTATTCTTTTCACGCGGGTATTGAACAACCATCCTTTCCAACGCGGTCGGACTTGGATTTGCAAGCACTGTATGTATTTAAAGAAAAGCGACAATTATTTATTTCCAAACAAAATACAACTGAAATTACTATTATAATGGTAATATGAATTAATTTTGATTCTATTTGAAATTCGTCCACATCACCTTCCAACCCCACCTCATCTTGTAAGCTACCAAAAAAATGCATCAAGACTTTATATTTTGCAAAAGCAGGAAATCTTTAAAGACTTTGGTAGTGGGTCTACCAGCCTGCTTTTTTACCAAAAAGATCCAACCCACTTGCAGATATTCTACAGATTCTAATACTGGATTAGTAATCCACACTATTATTAAATGTTGGTTGGTTCAATGATTAATAGATTTCACTACACTTGCATTTTGGCTATGACCTATTTTGCAGATAAATTATACACACTTAATTAGTCCATAGGCTAAATATCTCGATTTTTTTGGTTTTATGGGTTGGTTCCTTTCTGCAGAAAGGCGTCCAATTGACCAAATTACTTTAAATTAGAGATTATTTATTTTACCTCAGACAGGCTTCCGTCAACTCAGGGACTAATAAAACCATAGATTAAATTTATAATTTAAATAAATATTAACATTAGATTAACACACAGACACACAGGCTGAAGGACTGTTGTATTTGCTTAGCATTCTTTAAACATACATATCACAAATCTTTAAACATACATATCACAATACTCACTAAAGACAAAAAATAATTTTGGATTTCAACTGTCAATCATTGTCTATGGTGTGATATCAAAGTATATTAATCAATTGGTTCTAAAGGGCACAAGGGCACGTGCCCACCCAACCGCCCAGATAAAAAGTAATAAAAGTTATTTGTTGCATTGTGCATTATTTTAGTTATACGTAACACCATTGTAATTACCATTTAAGGATGGTCTCAAATCTTCCTTCCGTCCGCTCAAACGGTTGAATTTAAGCATTCTTTCCGCAACGCTTCAGGGCGCGCAGCCGGGACACAGTTTGAAATATACCTATTCCGAGTATTCCGAGTTACATTATATTTGCATACTGAGAGGATAACCGAAAATCATACTCGGAGTATGATCTTCGGTTATCCTCTCAGTATGCGAATATATCGTCAATTTTGGGCACCGAACGCAGTGTCTCTTCAACAGCTGGTATCTGTGTCCGTTTGTTTGATTTCTAACTTTTTGTCGCCGTGTTTTTTTTAAATAACCATTGTAATTACCATTTAAGGATGGTCTCAAATCTTCCTTCCGTCCGCTCAAACGGTTGAATTTAAGCATTCTTTCCGCAACGCTTCAGGGCGCGCAGCCGGGACACAGTTTGAAATATACCTATTCCGAGTATTCCGAGTTACATTATATTTGCATACTGAGAGGATAACCGAAAATCATACTCGGAGTATGATCTTCGGTTATCCTCTCAGTATGCGAATATATCGTCAATTTTGGGCACCGAACGCAGTGTCTCTTCAACAGCTGGTATCTGTGTCCGTTTGTTTGATTTCTAACTTTTTGTCGCCGTGTTTTTTTTTAAATAAACTTTATTTTTTATTAACAATAATAGCACAAGCAGAAGTAAGTTGTGTGCAAAATCTTTTAAAAAACCCGATGTCACTTGAAGATAAACTTTTAATTAAGAAAAAAGGAAGACATATTTCCGATCTTCGAATACACTACACTTCCGCAGGTAAAGGCCGAACTTACAATAGAGTATTTAACAGAAATATGTATGAAAAATACTTTTTTTGTTTTATGTGCTTAATTTTCAAAAAAATAAATTACGTGCGTGGAATAAACATGGGTTAGATGATTTAAAAAACATCGCAGAGGGGGCTAAGAAACACGAAAATTCATTTTCTCGCATGAAAAATAGGAGAATGGACTTTATGTACAAAAATAAGTAGGTAAGTTTTTCGTGCCCACCCTCTTCCAGAACCTACGAGCCGCCACGGCAATTAATTATTGTGATAGTCAATTGTAACACTGTGCAAATGCGCAACTTACACATCATGTTGCCAACGCGTGTGCATTGTTAAAGTAAAATCCTAAAATGCATTTTCCCATAAAATAAAACATTAATTCCTAAGAAAACCATTGTTTAAACATTATGTACATTAAACCTGATCTATATAATAATACTAGAAACAATATAAACAAGGTAAACCTATTATTTTTATTCAACGTTTACACTCTGATATCTTGTAAATAATAAAGGAAGAACTTTCTGTGATTCCTGGGGGTCTGTAGATCATACACCTTTAAGGTGAAGTCTGTATAGATGACCCCTTATTTTTCGTACGAAACACGGGAATTCTGGTATTTTGTATTTTTGCAAAACGAAATAATAAAAAAGGGTTGTTCTAAATTTGATCTTTGGTCCAATTTTTAATATTTAGTTATAGCAAATTGCACGATATAAATTAGGGAAATAAAATATTTGTATAAGCTTACATCATATGCTCCAGCTTTGATTTGTGCGTAGAGCCTGTGCTGATCCTCGTCCCAGAAGGGCGGGTAGCCCACCAGCAGGATGTATAGTATGACGCCGCAGGCCCAAATGTCCACGGGTTTCCCATAGGGCTCCTTTTTTAGCACCTCGGGCGACAAGTAGCCCGGTGTACCAGCAAATCCGAACCATGCCTGCTGCTCGCCCTGCACCTCGATAGCAAGACCGAAATCGGCCAATTTTACTGCTGCGCCTTTGGCTTTACTAGCTAATAGGAGATTTTCAGGCTGAAAATAAATGAATAATTTAACGTTTGCATTTTTAATTACTTATTTAAATAAATTTTTAATTTAATGTCATTCATTTGTGGGTCAGAATTTCTCAAACGGGCCACCTGAATTAGGTCAAAATTAATTTTTGATTGTAGATACATTTTTATTTATTTTACATCACTAACACAAATCCAAAAAGATTTTGTAAAAAAAAATTGTCAATGATATTAACAGTCATTAAAAAATAAAATTGTTTATTATGGCTGAACTAATTTAATTATTTGATTCCAACGATATAACTAGCGTTGGAATCTTATTTTGACATAGATTCATTGTTATTTTTTTGAACTGTACAATTTAGGTCGATTTTTTTTTGTTTTTTTTATAACAAATTTGAAAATAATTAGCTTCTGCGCAAGCTATCGACTCGAAAAGAAATGAGAAAAAAAATGGCCCGCAGTTTGACAAAAAGTTACTTTTGTGGGTGTACCGCGGTGGCCGCTCACGCTCCGAACCGTGTTCGCTGTTCGCGGCTTGCGAAGCAACGTCTTTCGGTGGTCTGGAATGGTACTTTTCTAATGAAAATTAATTTTTGACCTTAATAATTGACCTAAAGCTTGTTTTTTTTGTATTAAATTCAGAAATAAATACGCGTTATATTGGTATAAACAAAAATAATTTTCGCTCATTATATTTTGTTTTACAAAAAAAATAAATTTTTCTGACTACATATTTAAAAAAATTATTCTGCCCTTATAAATAAACGTAAAGTCTTGTATTTTTTTTTGTTATATTAAGAAATTAATAGGCTTTGCTGTGAGGAAGCCAAACATATTTTATGTGCACTCAGAAAAATGTACATGCACTGATAATGAAACTAATTTTGTAAGCGATTAATAAAATAAAAAATAAAAAATTATTTAACTTAAATTTAAAATTGTAATGGCTATAAAAAATATAGCACCTTTTTATTAAATTTTCAAAAGAAAAACCTACGATTTGTCAAAGTAATGAGATTATTTTTATTACAGAATAATATTTTTAATAAAATTCTCATTTACTATAATGAAGCGGCATTGTCGAACTTAAAATGTTTTTGTTAAATCTATAGTTTTGTGTGAATTGCGCTTACATAAAGTAATGCGCAGTTGTAGTAAAATTTGTTCAGTTTACTATGGCATATTTGTCTTTTTTAAATTACCATCGTTGTAATTTAAATTATTTTTATTTCAGTTAGAAAATCTTAGTTAATAGCTTACGTTAAGAAAAATAACAAAAATATTTTATTGCTATAAAAAGACTTTTTTAATATTTACTATTGTTTTGCAATGGTAACAAAAATTTTGTTATTTCCCTTAAAAAGAGGGGGAAAGGGCCAGCGCTCTCCTTGGTGAACATAACTTTATAATCTGTGTTATAATCTTATTGATTTCACTTGTGCGAGTGAAGTGTGGTAAAATCTAGCATGATAAAGATATCAAAAAGATCACTAAGAAAATTAAAATTTCGACGTTTTGTAAAAGAAATATTTAAGGTATATTCTATAAACGAAGCAGACTTGTTGTTTAAAAAGTGAGTTCATATTTTTTTTTATTTTGTACATGATATAATATGAGTTAATTTTTTTGTTATAATAAATAATTTGTTTAGTGCCTTGCATTTATTAAAAAAAAAACTATCCAACACCCAACAGTAGGTTGAAAATGTGACCATTGTTACAATGAAAATAGTTTATTGAATTAACAATTAATTTGTTGTTAAATTTACATACATTTTATTAATATTATAAAAAAAGTTTTATTTTAAACGAAAAGGGATTTGTAAAATTTACAAAATTTTCATGAATAATACCATTATGGTTTCATTTATACTACAAAACGTTTTTGTAAACGGTATAGAACCACAGCCCTGTGTATAGAACTGTTTTTTTTTGACAAATAATAATAACTATATTTATCAATGCGTTTCTGCATTTGGAAGAGTGTTATTTTTATAAACATAACGTAAATTTACTTTATAATTAATGCAAATGCTATTACTAAAAGCAGCGTTTGTAGATAAATAGTTTTTATAAAAATGATCTTTTTGCCGTAACAAAAGCAATTATTGGACGAATAGGGATCTTTACTTTATTAAGGCAAACTACTTTTTTGTTATATTTATTAAAAAGTTTTCTGAGTGTGCATATGTCCCAAACATGTTTTTTGTAAAATTATTTCATCTATCGAAAGCAATTTGTACAAAATTGAAATGTAAAATATTATTCAGAAGTAAAATTAAATTATTATTTTCGTACTAATTTTTTTGCATTAAAACTTTTTTATTTTTAACCATCATGGTTAATCATAGTTAAACCATGTATGTAATATTGATATAACTGTCTTTTATAAATCGAGAAAGTGTCACTTTTCTTGATGTCCAGGCAGGCAATACTGTCACTTTTCCTGCCTAGATTTTAGATTAGAACAGAATTTTCTTGGCGTTTTAGGCGCTGTTACTTATTTATAACAATATAATATATTATATTATATAACCTAAATAAAAATATTATATAATTTAAACTCTTGTAATGTATGACCGAGCTCCATATAGAAAAGAGATACACAAATATATACAGATTTTTGTTTACATCACGAAAAAACAGTATTTTTATTTTACCACAAGGTGTTGGTTATAAAAAATGTAAATATTTAAGTTTGGCGCCATTTAAAACAAAAGATAATGCACATAAAATGTTCTTGTTTTTATCACGATTTATTTCTTAATAAATCAACAACCAAAACAAGAATCTGAGTTAATAAATATTTATTTTTTTAGTTTGGCGCTACACCTATAAAAATAATACTGACATAAAATATTTTTGGCTTCCTCACAGCAAAGCCTATTAATTTATTAATAAAACAAACAAAAAACACAAGGCTTTAGGTTTATTTAAAAGGGCAGCATAATTTTTTTAAATGTGTATTAAAAAAATTTATTTTTTTGTAAAACAAAATCTAATGAGCGAAAATTATTTTTGTTTATACCAATAAAAAGCCCATTTATTTCTGAATTTAAAACAAAAAACAAGCTTTAAGTTAATTATTAAGGTCACAAATTAATTTTTATTAGAAAAGTACCATTCCGCGTCGCAATCCGCTCTCTAAAAGTGAAACAGTGAAATTTTTACTATTTCCGTCAGTGAATTATTATTCACTGTAAAATTAGTGTTTTTCAATATAAATTAGTGAAATTTTAACTTCTTCAAATTAGTGTTTTTTATTATCACTACTTTTCCGGTACCCTCGACATAAAATAGTGAAATTTTAACTTTTTTGAACTAAACCTATTTCACTAATTTGTACAGTGAAGAAATCGCTACATGAAAAAGTGAGTATTCACTAATTGCTAGTGGTATACTTATCACTGCGGCAAATAGTTAATATGCACTGTCAATCAGTGAAAATCCACTGTTTCATTTTTAGAGAGCGCGGTTCGGAGCGTGAGAGGCCACCGCGGTGCACCCACAAAAGGACGAATAACTTTTTGTCAAACTGCGAGCCATTTTTTTTCTCAGCAGAATAATTTTGAGAAATGATTGGAGTATATGTGTTTTTTTTCGATTCGATAGCTGGCGCAGAAGCTAATTATTTTCGAATTTGTTATAACAAAAACCACAAAAAATCGACCTAAATGCAAATTGTACAATTGAAAAATCTATTTTAAAACAAGATTCCAACGCTAGTTATATCGTTGGAATCGGATAATTAGTTCAGTCATAATATTTTTTTTCTTACAACCTCGACTGAAAATACGTTGTTTCGTCCCCGATTCCACGGCAGAAAGTTTACGTTTGATGCATTGGAATCGGGGACGAAACAACGTATTTTGTGCACTAGTACTCAACATATGCAACTCTGATTACGACACTAATATAACCTCAAAATATGTTTCGATATACACATTTAATTTTTTCCCGTATTTTCGGCCGGGTAGCAAGAAAAATAGTATACACTACACGGGCTTCGCCTCGGGCATCATGGCGCGCAGTGCAGGAATCTCACACTTTCTGCCCTTGTAGTGTAATATACTATTTATTTTTTAATCACTAAAAACTTTGACTTTTAATATCATCAATATGTCAATTGACATTTTTTTTACAAAATCATTTTGGATTGGATTAGTGATATAAAATACTATCGAAAAAATGTATCTACAATCGAAAATTAATTTTGACCCTTGTTCATTTTAACACGCTATTTTGTTTGTGATTATACATCTTTAACGTTTTATTTATTTTGTTCGTGATAATATTTATTGTTATTTAATTTTATTTTGCGTTTTAATTGCAAACATTTTAATTTATTATAATTCAAACCTAACGTATTATTAATTTATGGGCTGAGTTTGCAAAGAAGCTAAATAAAGTTAATATTACAAACACATAGGTACCTACTTAAATATAATATATAATATTGGAAAAGTTTCATTTTAAATTTAAAAAGGACTTTTCCTGCCTTATAGCCAAGGCAGAACAAGCCATACCTATTTAAATTCTCAATTTAAACTTATATTAAGTTATAAATAAATATTAATAATAAGCATAATACAATATTACATGCAGTTGTGATATTATTAAAAATTGTAAAGCCTTAATTCCCTTAACAAAACAATTTAGAATTTTTGTTTAAAGAACAAATCGTGTGCTTGTAAGAAATGTATAGGTACTTCGTTATATTTTTTTATACTATACTAAAAAATAAACTAAAAAAATCATTTATGCACGATGACATTATAATACGACAATTATAACAAAAATTCTTTGACGTAAACGTCTTTTTATAGCCCGCGGGCGTTATTATGACCCAGCGGGCTATAATGAAACGTCAAAAATTAAAAACAACAATGTTACACCATTTGATATATTCGAAGTAAGTTTTTTCGTATAAAGATTTTGATTTTTCCGGCAGCAGGCCGCAATTTTTTGCCTTTTCAGCTGCTTCCTCAATTTCATTCATCTTTAAACTTTAAAACTGACTGATGTCAGTTGACATTATAATATGACAATTATAACAAAAATTCTTTGACGTAAACGTCTTTAAAAACAATATTATATTAAAAATAATAATATATTAATCGTGCATAAAGTTTTGTATGCATTGCTGGCATAACTGGTTTTTATGGTCCTACGACGCTTTTCTAGCCCTCGCGCTAACGCGCTCGGGCTCGAAATAGCGCCTCGGACCATAAAAACCTTATTATGCCCTTAATACATAAATAACTATTGGGAAACAAGTATATATACTTATAAATAAGTATAAATGAGTACGTAAAGGGTATTTCACTAATGCGTTACATAAGGTTAGGTAAATTTTTAAAATGTTGTGAAAATAATAACATACCTAGTAGTAGTTCGGTCGCCTTGCCGAATTGCCTTATTTAGGACTAAAACTAAAATTTTTATTGAGATTTTTAGTTTTAGTACCTGTTTGGTAATTTATAAAGACCAGCATAAGGCACTTAAAAATTGAAAAAGGCTTCTAAAAAGGTACACAAAAAAAGGCAAAATATGCACAAAAAAGGCAGAAAAGGCAATGTTAAAAACATGTTTATTTTAATATGCATAAAATGGTTTTAACACAACATAAATAACACTGTTGGGAGGTGAAAATATCACAGCTAAACGCTTGGACACGTAAACTTAATTTTTGGTCGTAGATTACAAATCCATCTTGGTTTAGCTGTATAAGGTCAAAATTTAAAGATATTGGAAACGCCCTGTATAAATCATTTCCAAATAAAAAAAAATTCCAGCAAAATTTGAAGTTAATTGATCAAAAGGAACAATTCAAAATGTTTTTTTGCTAATTTTTTTTATTGGTTATAAATGAGGACATTATATTAATTGAAATAAAAAGCTTAAAAATGTTCGCACAAGAGGTGAAATATATTATTTTACCATTATACATTACCATTATACAGTGTGTCCCCGGATCGGATTTCCGATAGGAAAAACTTCTTTAGACCTGATACAGCTAAACCGAGCACGGACCAAAAATTTTGTTTACGTTTCCGAGCTGTGATATTTCAAAAGTTGAAAATTTACCTACAGTGTAATTGTACATTTATAAAAAAATATGTATTTTTGATATATTTGCATTAAAGTATCAATCATTTTTTTGACATTTTCTTTCGTTAGGTATATCGTTTATCTTATAACATATTTTTGTTAGAGGAAAAAGAACATCGGCACCATCACCCTGATAGCATCGCATCACAACTACTTATGCGTAGCTTCACTTACAAAAAAATACACAGTTTTAAATGTAGGTGGTCACATCGGAGCAAAGGTCTGGTGTTCACATATTTAGTTTTAATCTGTGTATTTACTTATTTTAGTGAACAGGGTTCGATGCTACAAATGTTCGAAGCGATGGTCGGTGTTGCGATTTAGCTTACTTTTTTTGGGTGAATTTAAAAAAATCTTAGTAAATTTTCTTTTAAAAGTCAAAAAAGACAAAAATAAGTTTGGTTAAATTGTACTAAAAATCACTTTGCACTAAGAATTTTTAACTAAATATCAAAATCGACGATAGGCATTTAGCCTATAATCCGCTGTCTACTCTCTAAAAGTGAAACAGTGAAATTTTCACTATTTCCATCAGTGAGTTATTATTCACTGTAAAATTAGTATTTTTCAATATAAATTAGTGAAATTTTAACTTCTCCAAATTAGTGTTTTTTATTATCACTGCTTTTCCGGAACTCTCGACATAAAATAGTGAAATTTTAACTTTTTTGAACTAAACCTATTTCACTAATTTGTACAGTGTAATTTCCACTAAATAAATTAGTGCAAAGAAATCGCTACATGAAAAAGTGAGTATTCACTAATTGCTAGTGGTATACTTATCACTGCGACAAATAGTTAATATGCACTGTCAATCAGTGAAAATCCACTGTTTCATTTTTAGAGAGTAGTAATTTATTACTTGCTAATATCTATTTGTCTGTACATGTAATAAAGTTTTTGTTTAGGTTATAAAAATTATGTCGTAAAACGATACATTTAGTGACTTTTTCTTATTAAAAAAATGGGCCCCATGATGCCGACAGTATGAAAAGGGCGTTGGTAAGAGAAAAAAATAGGAAAGACTTCAAATTTGCTCATTGAGGCCAAATGTTTTTAACCCTCTTAAAAAATTACTTTAAACAAAAAAAAATTAAATTATATTTTACCTTTTTCTACCATTAACCTCGAAATTGTGAAACTCCATTATGCCCCACCTTGTATAATAAGTACAATGTATATGCATAGGTAAAAAGCTTGGTAGTAAAAATAGCTCATAAACTCAAAGGTATTAACTTTGCTACACAAAGTAATAAACTTAATTCCTTAAAGACGTAAATTAAACCACTGCAACTATATTACTACCCGCTAACTAGATTGGAATATTAATAAGCACATGCAAACAAGATACACAAAACTTCAAAACATAATATTAAATATGTAAACGCTCATGCATATTTATCCATAATAAATAAAAATGTATATTGCGTTGCATTTTGCATAAAACGGTAATTAAGCGAAAAATCTTACCTTAAGATCTCTGTGTACTACACCATTTTGATGGCAATGGTTTACTGATTCTAGGATTTGCTGTATGCAATGCGATGCGTCTGCTTCGGAATAGAATTCCCGTGCTACAATGTCTTCAAACAATTCACCACCTGTCACTCTAAAACAATTAAAAAGAAACACATTTAAATTTATTGCTTTAATGTTGCATTTTTATATGAAGTTAAATGTTAAATTCAAGATAATTATTATTAAAAATAATTTCATGTAAATTAAAATTTAATGCTTTTTATATAAAAGATATGTTAAATGTTAAATTTAGAATAATTTTTTTTAAAAATAATTTAATTTAAATTAAATGACAAACAACGATTTGCCTACATCTATTTTTGGATAAATTTAAATGGCCAGGGCAACCTCTATTCTGTAAATCTAGGTGAATATAGTTCAGGGCCAATTATGCTGTGTTGTAATTTCTGTTTTACGTAAGCGTTTTCCTTGTTTTCAGTGTGGTTATTAAATAAACTTTATTTCAATGATACCTACGAATAAAATACTGCAGATATTAATAATCCAGTATACATATTTTAACAAAGGAAAATTTTGATCAGTGCTCCTTATGTTTTCATAAAGAATAATGATAATGATATGGGCAGGATACCTTTTTGTTATGTATTACATATTAATGAATATGCAAGCAAACTATGTTAAACTTTAAATAAAACAAGTTGGTATACAAAGAAAATAGCCCTTAGGGGTTTATAAAGTTAATGAGGTTGACTTTGGTACTTCACTTCTTGCAACACATTAACTTGAATTTAAATGGATTTTCACTTTCGCTTCGCGAGACTTTCCGAGTATATAATTGGATCAAGTTCGCTGACACTTGGCTGAAATATTTTATTCACATTTTAACGAAAAAATACAGATCCATATTTAAGAAAAATACTTTGATGTATTTAAAAATTAAATCGTAATTAAATAATTTGTTTAATATAATTTAAAATTATATTATCCAAAAATAAAGCAAACTTTTCCAAGTTAAGCTAAAAGAAAGTGGCGATATTTTTAACAATGTCAAAACTTTTGTCTTGCGCATTGTCCCAAAGAAGATTTATTGGACTTTTATTTTTGGTTTTTATCTAATGAAATTTATCACAGCAAGTGGAAAGGAACTAAAAACATTGGTTTAACTATTTTATCGTTGCCAAATTCATTTCTGGAACTGTTTTACAGCTTTTTGTTTTGTTTTAGTAAGCGTATTAACATTTTTAAAATTTTAATTCTTTAAAACATAATCTATAATCTAAGTAATGTTGCGAAAATGCAAAAACGTATAAATAAAAATTCTGTTGAAATCTGTATAAATATAAAAAGATATTATTAAATGTAATAAAATTGTATACATAAAATACCATTAAAATCCTAAAAGTGGCTCTTAAATCTTTTTTCTGAAATATAATATTCTGGGACACTCTGACACCATTATTCATTCTTTACAGTGTTTTGTTAAAATTTAATAACATTTTATTTAAAGCTGGCACTGTAATTTGGCAACTAAAATAACCTTAAGGAGATTTTTTAATTTGTTTAACTACAAACCATAATTATTGTTTTAACACATTTTTGTAAAATTTTTAAAAATACAAACATAAAATATTACTTACAGGTCAAACACCAAATAATGAAAATTTTCTTCCTGTATACTATCGTGTAATCTCACTGAAAAAAGAAGAAAAACAAATGTTAGTATCAATGAAAGCAATATCCAAATAAAGGGATTATAACATTTGTATTTGTACTAAATATTTTTAATGGGATATAAAAATATTATTTAAAGTATAATTATTTATTTATTAAATATGTATAAACTCACATAATTACATATATATTTATTCATTAATTACTAACATAGATATTTCTAAATATATCTAAATATTTAGACAAATACTGGTTTAACCCTATAAAATCTTATTTAAATACATCAACAACTTTAATAAAACACCATGCTTTTTATTCTATATCTAGTATGTAATAATCTAACTAATTTCATTTTTATGAACACTATCGTACATAAAGTTATGAATGTATTTACAAATATTAATTTTAATTTATGTCTTCTGGATTTTTAGTAGAAAACTTCCAGAAGCTAATTTAACTGGGTTGAGATAATAAAACAAACTGCAAACCCCACCCGAATATAATATAGTTATTTATGTATCAAGGCAGTAAAGTCGTATTTTTTATGAAGAATGTGAAAATTATTCAGAGGCGAAAGCCGAGGCAAATACCACGTGAGTGATAAAAAATGACTTAAATGCCGAGGTGCATACTAAATTTTAACCGAAATCACATTTAATAATACTAATAATTAATATTGATGATGTGTGATGTGTCTACGTATAGGTACTGTTTGTTGTGACGGTTATGATATATTTGCGCACCGCGGCGATTTTTTAATCTAATTAATAAAATTAACTTATTTTTTTTTATTAAAGAACATTTTATGAAAGGGTTCAATCGACCTTCGCGACGGTGTTTTTTTTAAATATTATTTAGTTGCTGCTGAGTGGCAGTAGACACATCTTAAAATGTATAATGGGTTGCATACAATACTTATATTAAATCGGCAGTAAAGTTCTACTTTATGCTGGAATATGCTTTTTGGGTTTAAAAACTCATTTACACCATTTAGAAGAAAATGGGAGTTGATCACTAAAAATAAAATATTAGGACAAAATGGGACACCATATTTTTTGTTAATGTCCGGGGTAAAATGAGACACTTTTTTTAATATTTATTTCCAAAATACCGAGTGTATCTGAGAATAGGCGCACCCCTGTAACTTTTTTATTTATAAAGATAGACACATGAAATTTAGCATGGTTAATTAGGATATAAAATGCCACTTATAAGAGTACAAAATGAATTTTTTAAACTTTTGGTTTCGCCGGAAATAATATTAACTTTCGATTTTTAAATGTAACGCCCTATATATTGTCACATATTTAGAATCCTGAAAAAATGCTTAGTCGGACAACATCCTCAAATTAACCTTTCGACGAAAATGCTAAATGATAAAGAACAATCTAGAGTGCTTTGAACTATTTTAGAAAAACGAATTTTGAAGCTTAGACTGCTGGGAATAGCTAAATAACAACTTTATAAGGCAAGTTCCATTTTTCAGGCATTGTGTGAATCCATTAGAAGAAAATAATATAGTTTAAAGCACTCTAGATTGATCTTTATGATGATACATTTTCTGATGACGAAACGTCAAAAAGTCAATTTGAGGATGCTGTCTGACTCAGAATTTCTTCAGGATTCCAAATATGTAAAAATATATAGGGTATTTCATTTAAAAATCGAAAGTTGGTATCAAGTTCAAAAAAGTCATTTTGTTTTCTTATAAGTGGCATTTTATATCCTAATTAACCATGCTAAATAAATAATAAATAAAAAAGTTACAGGGGTGCGCCTATTCTCAGATACACCCGATATATTAAATTAAATTTTTTTTAATAAAAAAAATTTAAAGTAAATATAACTAATTAATTAACAGTAACTTTACAGCATTTTTTAAATAATTTTTGATCAAACCGCTCAGATTTTCTCTAAATAGCAGACTGATTTCCGCCAAAAAAGTTTTAGACTTTCGCTGCATTCAGCATACTGCATATTTTTTGTTGCTTTATTTTTTGTTTCCATACCATTTTTTTAATAATTTTTACTATGTAGTAAACTAACTGCATATTTTTTGTTGCTTTATTTTTTGTTTCCATACCATTTTTTTAATAATTTTTACTATGTAGTAAACTTTATTCCTTTTCAAACCACATTTTTAGATTTTTAATAACCCTGCATATAGAACTGTCACTGCCACTGTCAAAATCAAAAAGCGTTTCCATAAAAACCATATATCAACAACTCGCGTTGAAATCCAATATTTTACGTTTTAATACACGTTCTTGTGTTACAATATATATGTATTAAAATAAAAACAATTATAAAATTCACTGTTTTTTAAATAAAATGTAATAAAATGACAAAATAAATTATGTTTTTGCAAGTTGGTACCTATTGCTAATTATGCATTAAGTATAAAAGGAATCATTTCCCCGCAATGTACTGACCGAACTTCCATAAGGGATCAATGAACAATCTATATAATCTATATAATATTTTCACAAATTTGTATTTATTATAGAAACTAGAATATAACTAAAATATAGGAATCAATCAAGGTTTTTAGAGTGTTATTATAGACATATCAGTGAAACGACTCAAAAAACATTTTTTCTTACTACCTCGACCCAAAATACGTTGTTTCGTCCCCGATCCCACGGCAGAAAGTTTACGTTTTATGCATTGGTCAAGCTATACGCGCACACTCTAATAGAGGGAGTAAAAATTTTTTAGTCGTGTGCTTAACATTCAAATTTCGTACTACCAACATGAGAAACACAAAAATATGACAGTTTTAAACCATAATTTTGCAATTATAACAACAAATAAACAATTTATGTTTTTACTTTTTTACTTGTTATGTTGTTTTAAGTGTTTAATGGTACTTTTATTTGTTATAAAGTAGTAATTTGTTAATTAAAATACAACGTTTTATTTTTACTGTATTGGCACCGCTGAATTCACGGCCTACTGTTATTTATTTATCAAGCTCTTCAAATGGAGATAGGTACATAAATACACATTTAATTTTTTCCCGTATTTTAGGCCGGGTTGTATTTTCGGCCGAGGTAGTAAGAAAAATAGTATACACTACACGCGCAGAAAGTGTGAGAGCCCTGAACTGCGCGCCATGATGCCCTCTGCTTCGCCTCGGGCATCATGGCGCGCATTGCAGGAATCTCACACTTTCTGCCCTTGTAGTGTAATATACTATTACTGCACATATCACCAAATACAGCGAAAATTTGATTTCCGTCACTAGTAAGAGAAAATACCATAAAATTAACTTAACCTACTTAAATACATGCATTTTTAACCACTTCCAGGTTTATCGGTCTAATTTATTAAGTTATGTTGGCTTTTAAAGCTTTTGATGCATATTTAACCACTTCCAGGTTTATCGGTCTGATTTATTAAGTTATGTTGGCTTTTAAAGCTTTTGATGCATATTTTCAAAAACCTTCAAATCAGGGCTGGTTAAATCTAGTAACCTTGGCGAGCATGTCGTAATACAATTTATCCCGGAAACATATTTCTTAGACCATTCATAAAAATTCGGTTGTCGTTCTACCTTGCCAAAACCTTAAGTTGTTATTTTCTACCCACAGTGTTTGCAATTAAGCATAAACAGCATAAAATACGGAATAAATATGTATGTATATTAATATTTAATCAAGTTAAATTAAAAAGTTTACAATTTAATACAAAATTAGATTACACTGTAAGGAGGTGAAAATATCACAGCTAAATGCTCGAACACGTAAACTTAATTTTTGGTCGTAGATTACAAATCCGTGCTTGGTTTAGTATCAGGTCAAAATTTAAAGATATTGGATAAATTTAAACACCCTGTATAATTTAAAAATAAAATTCAATTTGGCTGGACCCTCACATCAGTTCCAAATAAAAAAAAACAAATTCTTGCAAAATTTAAAGTTAATTGATCAAAAGTAACACGTTTCCCTAAGGGTTTTCTTAGACTATTTCCCTCGTCTTAATTTCCACCAATCACAAACGCGCAATTTTGAATTACAAATGTTTTCTAGGTGGAAAAACTGTATGACAGCACCTGTCAGCAGTTTATTCGAGTTTACCCGCGGCAAAACTTGACAGCTGTTGTCACCAAAAATTGCAATTTATATTTTAATTGTTAACTGTTACTCATGAAATAGTCTTGTCAAATACCATTCGGGCATCTAATTTTTCCTGGGAAAAAAATCGAAAAAACACAATGCTAAGTAATATTTTTTAACAAAATGCATTCGTGCAGGTGCAAAAATCCTCCTCTTCGACTCGGATTTTTGTTGCCACCAGCCCTCATGCTTTTTGTTAAAATATTACTTAGCAACGTGTTTTTTCGATTCTTTTCGGAAAAATTAAATGCCCTTATGATATTACTTACGATAATTTAAGAAATTCAAAATGTTTTTTTGCAGATTTTTGTTTATTGAGTATAATTGAGGATATTATATTAAATGAAATAAAAAGCATATGAATATTGGCACAAGAGGTAATAGTATATTATGTATCAAGTTTGATAAACGCCATTTTATACACGAATTTAATTTAGGCACGAGCGAGATAGTTATTAAATTAATGAGTGTATAGAAAAGTTTATAAACGAGGTGCATACTATACTTTTTCTACGACAAATTTTGTATAGAGCGCCATCCATGAAACAATAGGGAAATCTGTGTGTCACCGTCAAATATCAAATTTTATAAACACAGATTATAAAGGTTATAAATCGAAATGTATTTCTTGAAAATTGACAGTTTTTCACAGTGAAAGTAAAGAAAATGTTTTATGAGCACTTTACAGTGGTCCGTGCCCGAATTTAAGTTACAGTTTACAGCCGGCGAAATTAAAAGGTCAGTACAATGTTTATATAAACTTTTCAAATATTGGCGTTGAGAAACTATTTAATACTTTTGTATTTTTGTATTGAGATAATAAAATAATTTTCACATTTAGTATTATTTTACAAGAAAGGCACTTTATTTTAACGATTTTATGACATTTGACAACTGTCAACT